TGTGACGGAGTCAAGGTTACTATACTGTACAGACAGATGGAACTAGGAAAACACCAAATACTGAAATGAATGACTGCACCATAGAATCCACCTCAGAAGAAATCCCAGATCAGTTCTTCAGCCCCTGGAAAAGCAAATTCTATATAGAAGCTATAATTTATGGAAGAACAATGGGATCAACCTGAAGCATGGGGTAGAGAAGGTGAGGAGGGGAGCAGTTTAAAGCAAATTTCTTGATTAAGACAACGTTCTCTAACACATCCTAGAACTTCTGGAGAAAACAGAAAAAAAAAGGAAGTTCTACTGTTTAGCCCAGAACTGAAAAAAACTCAGGTATAACACAAAAATACTACTTCTCAAAGACCAGCTTCACTTAATTCTTACAAAGTCACTAACAAGATACTATTCAAGAATCTCCTCTACTAGAGCTGTGTTCCTTGTCTTGCTGACATATTTCCTAGTGTTAAAACAGAAGTTGAGCGTGATTAGACCCAGCTGCAGCTCTAATGCACATGCAACAGCCCAAAGAAGGAAATTGCTTTTGAGGAATTAGTTATTTATTGCAGGGTCTTACAGCAGCTAGAAAGGAGTGTTCTATACCCAAAATAAGAGCTTACTAGGCCAGGTGCTTAAGTCTTTGCCAGACAAGGCCCAAAGAACAAGACAACATCTGTCATGATGAAAGAGCATGAGAGATTCAGAATCTTGCTGCTGGATAAACTCATAATTAATGGGTGTCCCTCCAGAAGAGGACCGGGTCAGACTGAAACAATTACCATGTAACAGCTGTTGGGTGTCTTCTGATTAATTCTGCAGACTAGACCAACGTCAAAGCCATCACTGTCAATGACAACTAACCAGAAAAATCTGCTTGTAATGCATCAAAAGCAATTTACTGCTCAGTGCTTCTGCTGAGGCAGCAATCAGCATGCATTTGAAACAACAACAACATCATCATCTTATAAGAGTTAATTTCATTTCAGGATGCTTAATTCTTAAAAAGCTCTCAGTTGCAAGTCCAGGCAAGTAACCAGGCTCTATGCTACAGCTGTTTTTAAGAATACTTCTTGCAGATTTGTGTCTTAATATCCTTTTAAGGTCTTTTAGCTTCATTGTGCAGAGAAGACTTCTTACAGTATTAGTACTGTTTTCCTGAAAGTAATTCCTGTTCCTTAAAATTAGAAATCGCACTGTATGGGGCTCTCAAAATATAATTGAGAGAAAATACACAACCACTTGCTCCTTCACTGTGATCTCTGCAGCAGCTTCTGCATGGGTGAGAATTTCTACTCAGAGCTGCTACCATGAAAGGTTGCACATAGAATACGCATAAATACACAGAGCAAGCACTAGAATCTGTCTTTGCATCTCCAGAATAGAGACTTTCTTTTCTACAGCCTAGTTATTGGACAACATCGCTCAAAAGAACTAATTTATTAAAGCTGCTAAAACATAACAACGAGCTGAGTTTAAAAAAAAAAAACCCAACAAACCACAAACTATTAAGGTGTAGGTTCCATAAATTGATTTGAGCAGGGCTAACATCCAACTCTCCTTATGACTTGAGTACATAGTTTATGGTTAGTGTTGCAGCCACAGTTCATAGGAAGTTTTTCTTCTCTAGGCGAGTAGTCTAATTGAAGAAAATCCATCTACCCCTGTATGCCATTGCAAGTCTGCCATTTGATGTCTACTTTTACCAGCACTGCGCTTGATCTAAAAATACAGCATTATTTTTTATCTGAATCATTCCCCATAACTGGTTCACTGCACATTCACACAGAGAGGTGTGCTAGCACAATGCAGGAGGCAGCAGGGGGCTGAGAATATGATGAAGGACTGCCTAAGTAGCAAACACAGCACTGCTGCTAAGTGTCTGGTCATAACCTAAGCAGTCAAATAAACAAGTTCTGAATATTTCTGCCTCATTTTCTCCAGCTGCAAAAAAAAAAAAAAAAATCATGTTGCCCTTCTTCTCAAAAATGACCTTTTGAGCAATTGGAAGGAGGTTTAAAATGTTTGAAAAACTGAATAAATGGATGTACAGCAGCTGTTTTCAGGCCATAACTGCAGTATTTTTTCTTAAAAGCTGCATCACTTAACGGAGTCTTTTCATATTCAAAATATATAGAATGCTTCACTTTTAAAAATAAAAATAAAATAAAATTTGTAACCATCATTTCCAAGTACTACGAGAAAAGCTGGAGTGGCAATTCAGGAATGACACACCCCCACAGTTTTCCTGCAACAGAGAATATAAGGTGATGCAGGGTAAGATCACACAAATAGGCCACTTCAATAGTTATAACAACTGCTGTAAGCTTCTAATTCATCTCTAGTTTCTGGGGTTCTCAAACTCTGCTTATAAGAGACATCAACAATATTTTATTAGAGAAAAAAAAAAGCGGTATTTTAAAGACTGCTTATATAATCCACTTGGAAAGCTCTCTATAGAACATAAAGTTCACAATATAAATATTGCCAATCTAATAGTTATGGTGATACCAAGAGATGGAATCCCTACATTTCATTAGGTATAATCACAAACCAAGCTGAAAGGCACAATTGCTCAATACCACTGGAAAAAAACCTACAGAAAGATGAGAACTGCAGCTGTATCAATACTTTCTCTACGGTAATCTTCCCAGCTTTATACAGGTATTATTTTGTATTCCCATAGCACCTTTCAATGGAGATCCACAAAGGTGAATGCAAGTATTCAAACTCACTCATCTTTTGCTCATTTTAAAGAAGGAAAAAATTGATGTGCAAAGTTAAATGATTACCTAACAATACAACAGAAACAACAGCAACACAAAAACTAAGACACCCTATTTCCAGGCCTGCTGCTCTTTCTAGTTTAATTCTATGACATAATTTCCCCCCAGCTTTTAGCATTTTGTTTATGAAACTCTCAAGCTGCCTGCAAGTTATAAGCTGCTGCAGAAACCTTATAGTGACTTATGATGAGACCGTTCCTTGTTGTACAAGCAATAAATAAAAGTACAAAAATGGTCTGTTTAGTCTAAAATAGAAAAGACACAAGGGCAAAGTGATAATGTTTTTTCTGTGTAGCGAGTTAAGTCAAGAAAAGTGATTATTGGCTTCTGTTCAGCACCTGAGAGAATGCATTTGGACAGTGCCCAGTTTTAGTGTACACTCCATACAAAAAAATACCAAAACAGACATCGACTTCTCCGAGGGAATCCAGTGGAGGGCCCCCAAGATGGTCAGGACACTGGAGACCATGACCTAAGCAGACAGCCTAGGAGAACTGAGTTTGTTCAGCCTTAGGAAAAGGTGGCCCAGGGAAGACTTGATTGCTAGAGAATATGGAGATGGACTCTTCCTGCAGGCATGCAGAAAAAGAAGGGCCAGTAGTCACAAGATGCAACAAAGGAAAATCTAATTGAATACGAGGAAAAAAGGTTCCATCATGAGGGGCCCAGAGAGGCTCTGCAGCCTCCAGGCTCTGAGATGTTTGCGTGGCTCTGGGCTGGCTGATCTATTTTATCTAACTTCGAGCAGGGGGTTGGACTAGATGAACCCTCCAGAGGCCCTTTTGGCGCAAAGATAACTTCTTCAGATTCCCCACCCCCATTATTCCTTATTAGAGCTCAAAGTATTACAACCGGCAAGCATTGTTATGCCCATTTTACAGACGTCAAAACTGACAGACACACAGAGAGAGAGATGAAGTGATTTCCACAAAGTGAAGCAGCAGACAAGTGTTACACCTAGTCTCATTCCTACTTCAAGGAGATTATATTCCATATTCCACTTCCCCACTAGTCCCATATTGCTTTTCCACCTCAAGGAACTTCTACATTAATATGACAATCTGTTTTGCGGATGAAAAACTACCTTTTTTGCTTCACTGATGTATTTGGATCAGAAATCCTGCCCTACTAGCAAGGGAACTATTTGAGCCAGGACTTGATTAAATTTCTCTGTATTGGTTTGTAACAAACAATACGGATGTTTGGTTGCCTCTGGCACCTTAGCTCTGCGCATTTCTGCCTGTCATTATCTATTTACAGTAGCTGACGGTAAGACCACGGCATAGTCAAGTTACTGCCAAGCCCCTCCCTCTGTCCAACTTTCTGGGGCAACATATAGCCAGAATTTATTTACTTACACAACACAGACAGGGCTAGCCAACAGTTAAGAAAGCGTGCTTCAGCTTTACCAAGTCAGTTGAATTAGAAGAGATCAGCCTGCCTGTACAAAAGAGTAATAAGCCCCTATAAATTCACTGAAACATGCATAATATTTTAATCACTTAAAAAAATATCATTTAATATACCCCTTCATTTCTTCTTTTTCATCAAATGCCTCATTTCAGTAGTACTTGTACATTACAGTAGTAATTTCTTCTACTGCTCCTGGTGATCTGGGAGTTTCCAGAATAAAAAACTACACAGCTATACAATACACTATCTTCCCCTATGAAGTAATACTTTCTTAAGATGCTGCCTACCTCCTCTCATCAGCTGCCATTCCTTACGCGACTGTCTCCTTCCCTCATCATAATCAGTTATTCAATGTTACCTATGATCCAAACTGTTCAGCTAGCCTTTCAGTAAGGACTCTATTTCCTTTATTAAAAGGAGATCTAATTCATGCCTACAGGACTACCCTGAAACCTGCTCCGAGTTTTGGAAAAGCACCTTGCAGCTAATCAGGTGAAAACAATGAATGCACACAATTAAATAACATGAAACAGGGCATTTTTGTTCTTATAATCTCTCCCAGTCACAGTAACCTTACACACTGGTGAAAGCAGTTGAAAATCTGCAATGGAATGTGATGATTAAGAAGAGTAAGAATATCTAATAAAAAAAAAAACAAACTTGTTACCCAAAAGGAGAAACTAAGAATAGTAGAACTAGACACAAATGAGTTTTAAAAAGTCCATTTTCATGTTGGTCACAGACCATTCAGAAACATGACACTGAAAATATTATCTTTTTATATTCAACATAGGTACTTTGGATTACCTGTTTTTCTTCCTCTGGCATATCTTTTTCTAGTTCTAGTAAGTATTCTTCATCTAGTTCTGTCTGCTTCCTTGAGCTATTCTCATCATTCTGTAAATTCCCTTCATCATCCAGCATAGGTTCTTTTGCCTCAAAGGAGTCATGGCAGTCATGGAAACACTCATCTGTTGTTGTGGGATCTTTGGCTGAAGATGGTGCATATCCACTTTCAATGTTTTGGGGATTCTGTGCATCTTTGGCACCAGTCTCTGAAGACTTCTGATCAGAAAGCTTTAAGTGATCAAGTAATTCTTCAGGTGGACTTGCATCTTTAAACTCTTCCATGTTGGACTCCTTGGAGGGGTTAGGTTTTTAGAAATAAAAAGAAATAACCCTCAATAAGTATAATATAAATGCGTTGTCAGCAAGCAAATCTCTTAAGAACTTAAAAGTACTCTTGACATCACCTGAGGGAAACTACTACCCCTCAGGGGAGGTAAGAACTTAAACATTCTTATTCTATAGCCTATACAGTGACATGGGGCCAGTACACTGTTCCCATAAGTAAGTTAATTCACAAGCTCACATTCCCAGGACCGGCACAGCACTATGCTGCAGCTTCTTCTTTGCAGTGGGACTGAAGTCACACACACTTGCCTACCCACAGGCCTCAGCACCCCTTCGCGCTCCTCGGCCCCCTGCGGACTGCGCGCAGGGAGCCCCCC